AAGCATAGTTTTTAAGGCAGCACAAACATTCTCCTGCTCCCCTAAATGAAGTCTGTCTTCTGTCAGAAAGATAGTTCTCCCTCCTGTCCAGGCATGGTGACACCTTACTGCCATTTGCCCGTATCTCCTTCTTGGACATGCATTTCCTTTCCAGCACTACTAGCTGACACACGTTCAAAGCTAGCCTCCTCTTCGCCCTCCTCCCACTGCTGCTGCCGTGCTCTGTTTCAACAGGAATATGTGCAATGCAGAAGTAAAGGCTTTCGAAATCTCTCTGCAGCAAGAGGAAGCACAGCTGTGCGCTGTGGGATAGCAGCATGAAATAACTTGAAAGAGGACAGTGCACTGCAAGGATCCTCCTCCAGTCCATCAGAAACAGACTGAAATCAGTAGCCAAGGACTTAATCTTCTGGGCAGATGCATATTTACCTTGTTACCTCGCATCCTGTATTCTCTCCCCTCCTCCCACACAGACAAATACAAACCTAAACCTCTTGTCTCTAATACTCTGCCAGCTAAATAGCCAATTCTCAGCATCCCGCATCCAAATGCATGACACTTCTCACTCATTTTTGCTCTGCAATAATCTTGTCCAAAGCCATTTCATTCAGGCAGCCCATTCATGGGCTATTATACAGAGAGGCAATGTCAGCTTGCCAACTGCAAATAAATGAACAAAGAAGTTCATAAATCATTCGTGGGATGTCAGCATCCGCATTGTTTCGTGCCTTTTGTTTCGGCACTCTCATCTGCACCAGCATGCACAGCCCCCTCGACTTCACAGAAACCATGGCTTCGCTAGCAAAGCACAACACAGCAACAGAGCAGACCTACCTTTACGGAAACTAAAACACCGCTTAATTCTCCTATAAGTGGTTTTAGGAATGAAAGGAGCTGCTGCTAAGGCACCTGGGCTGCGGACTCCAGCATTTCTATCTTCAGGCATCATAAAGGCCAGAGCCCCCACGTACCCCCAAAGCTTTCCTTTACCAGCTGCATCCAGATGAAATGCCACAACTGTTCATCATTACGGACTGCTGGGGAGTTTTTATAATAGTGTGTTTTCCTCTGGAGCTAGGAGACTTGTGGTCTTCTCGATCTTGGGCAGGGTTTGAAGCAATTTTAATGTTCTATTCCCTTCTTCGGTTTTGCTTTGGGGAACAATTTCCTTCCATCTATTTCCTTTCGTTTCTTTTATTTCCTGCGGTGAGAGAACTGCTTATTATGCAACGTCACAACAAAAGAGTTTCAGCAAAAAGATATATCTTCTGTGCAAAAAGAAGTGTCTGCAAGGATGCAGAGGGAGAAAGACCTCGTCCTCACCGCTGGAACAGGGGGTGGAGCAGCAGGGACTCCAATTCCACTGGGAAAGGTCAGTGCTTCGCGGTGCGCAAGGAGAAACAAGAGCACAAAACCCGAAAGGACACCGAGGAATCTTCCAGGATATGATACTCCTTGCGGGCTCTCTTTATCTCTGTAACTGAGGAGAAAAAATAACGACACCTTCACCCAAAATATTCTCTGTCCATAACGGATTCTTTTCAAAAGGCCTTTTATCTACCCTGCTCCCTGTCCGATGATCCCGTGGGTTTCTTGCTTGTTTTATTGCCTTCCAACTACCAGAAGCTCTCATGGGAGAGGCATATCAGATGCAGCAGCCGCGCACTCTCGCCGGCGGGATCATGGGGAGCTGCTGAGGAATAGGTGCCTCCACCCAGGGATGCTCTGCTTGCTTCCTCCCACTCCCATGCCCGGCAGTGGCAGCAACCGCTGCCTTCTGCGCCAGCCACTCACATGCAGCAGGTGCAGGGAAACAGCGGAGAGGAGGGAGCTGCTGCAACGCGATTCTCTGCTCTTGGGGATGACTTTGAGTTGACTTCAGGCGGCTCTCGTGCGTGGCAGCTTGGAAAGCAGGCAGGCTGTGCTCCCACAGGAGGTGCCAGACCTCACGCTACTGGCCCTGCTAAAACGCGCACGTCCCTTCGTCTTCCCTCCTCCCTCCCCCTTGGTTTCGAGCTCTGCAATTAAAGCTCAGGCCTTCCCCTCCTGCAAAAATTGCCTTTTTTAATCTAATCAGGAAAGGAATGTCATGTGCAAACAAGCATTACATGTCCTGGCTCATTTACATTTCTTTCCCCTTTAAGATTTTTTCCATAGCTGCTTATTCTGTTGGTGCAGGAAAAAAAAAGGCAAGCTGTTTCTGATCACCTTAGCAGATTCCCACCTTCCCCCCTATTCTTTCTAGCACAGGTTAACAAGTAACAATTTAATGATAAGGTTAATCATTTACAGAGCTACCTGCTCTGGTACTGGGAGTCCTCTCCCACTGCCAGACTAGCTTTAAATATTAGTGGCTCACCAAGGCTCAGAGATATCCACTGAATATGCATACTATTTGTTTATAATGTTTAAAAGAAACAGAAAATTCAAATACGCTAGTCAAGCAGACACTCGACCTGTATGACATCAAACTACTGTGGCTTACCAAGAAGTGATAAAAATTAGCAAGAAAATTAGTAAGAAATAATGCAGGTGAGGTGTTTTGATTAATTTGCTTTTGCCTATGAGTATTTACTTATTACTGGCTGGTTACCACCATGTGATTAGAGCTTCCCTGTATTTTCTTTATAGCTAATACAATGGGCTTTTAACTTCAGTAGTCAGATCTCATAAATACAGGCTCTTAAACATCGATAAGTCAGAAGAACCCCTCTTTAGAAAGCTCCGGAAAAATTCTTGGGGGAAGTTGTAATAAAAGTTTGGGTATGTCTGTTAATAACCTAACTGGAGAATAGTTAACAGGACTTCCTAAGACTTTTGGCATCTCAGAATAGCAATTTAATTAACAAATAGTTAATCAAATGCAGACATTTAAGAAGCATGATTCTTAACAGTAACACACTGCAATACCACTTTTGCCTTGCAACGACATTCAGACTGTGATCATAAACATTAAAACTTGTTCTCGGGTTTTCCAGGGATTTAACCATTGCCTTTCCAGTTCAAGTAGCCTTCAACTCAATATACTTGAAAAGTTAAAAAAAAGAAAAACCTACAAATGAATTTAAGCAGTAATTCAGGTACTGCCTCCTCCTCCTCTTGTTCTATGCAAATCAGCACGCAAAGTCCTCGGCTAGGTGTTTCCATCATTAAGTGTCATTAAATACTCAACAACAATGACTGTGTCCTGAGAATTTCCCCAGTGCCTGGAAGGATTCCCAACTGCAAACTAGAAATAGCTCCTGCCCTATAAATGCAAATGAAGGGCTTGCAAAGAAAGCACAGGGTCAGGACTCGGGAGATTCTGCTTCTATTCCGAGCTCTGTCTCAGCCTCTGTGCATGGGCTTGGGCTGGAACTCCATTTCCCCAGATCACAGCTCCTCACCTGCAAAATGGTGACACTTCTCTCCTCTGCAAAGGAGCTTCAAGGATGGCTTTAGCTCGTATTTGCTACAGACCAACAAGGTGGTTATAGCAGCCAGGCAAACAATACACATAGAGCTTTCCTCCTTGAAAAATCCAGTTCTCTTACACATCCAAATTAGTTATTGTCACCGTATATTACACTGCTATTGGACTGAAATAGAAGAACACTGAAGAGCTCAATCTAATGCCTTCTCTGCAAAAACAAAGTTGGAGGTGGGTCATCACTGTGAACTGTGAGTGACTAAAACACCTCCTGCCTCCCCAATTCTGTTCCCAGCTGAGGCCCTTGGGGCAGCTCACCAGCAAGCAAGGGTCAAAACTCTCTGGATCACCTGAATAAAGCACAAAGACATATGGGTGGCTCAAAGAACAGTTTTATCCAAAATAGTCATTTCTTTTCGTCCTTTCCATCCTTCCTCCTGTGGTGTATCTGACAGGTGGGAAGGAGACATTTGCAGTCAGCAAACACGTTTTTCAGTGATTACTGCTCCTCTGTCATGAAAAAGCACAGGCAACCTTGCCTTACTTTTTCACTGTCTAATAACGCCTGCTGACAAGAAGAAGAAGGAAAAAAAAGCCCATGATACAATATTGGTGCTCTTCTCTGGTGGGAAAATATCCTCGTCCCCAGCCTTCAAGATTTGAGAACTTCAAGAAACTATTTGATTGATACACAGACTATTTTTTTTGCCAGGTGTATCAATCATACTTGTACTATAACAACATAGATATTGTTACCAGAAATGAGGCCAATAATTCCAGCCCATTCAGTATGAGCGCGCTTTTTGAATGACATCTGACAATAAATTGTGATGCAGCACTGCTCAAATTACTGGGTCTGCCAATCAGAAGAGAAAGCACCTATCACATAATGCTCTTGCTAATACCCCAGGGCACAGCTTTATATAATATTCTCATTGGTCTTAGCTATCACTTGCAGGAGAATCACTGACAGTCTCTTGTAACAGGTCTTTGCCAGCAAGGTGACCCAGCTCCACTTCCTTTGCATACAGCACCCTGTGCTTTAGTCAGGTGGGCAGCTATCAGACCACTTGCAAAATGTCCTCAGCAAGGGATGCTCCAGTAATCCAAATGCAAAGTGGTGTGGGGATAACAGCATTTTTGCCCCTCCCAGCGGGCCTGTGAACTGATGTCACCGATGCTTGTACAGTATTTGACCTCAATTGGGAAGGCCCAAGCACAGTGAAACTGAAAAACCATGAGCAGCCTTTAAGCGGGTGATCCATCCCAGTTTTCCCAGTGAGAAGCTCATTTCACAGAACACCAATCTTCTGTGAAAACCCTTGTTGCCTTGGTGACACTTTACAACATGCTGTCCTTCTCAAGAAAGTTTTAGATGTTTTAAAGCCTATTCACTGACTCCTCTATGTGGGAATGTGCCTGATACCTGTATAACAGGTGAAAATAAAGAGTTTATTCCACTGGTTTTGAAATATCTAGATCATTCTCACCTCCTCTCCACCGCAACATGCTGACTGTGGCTGAAAGGCAACAAATTAACCCCTGCATGTTTTTGTTCATCTGGAAATCTGACATATTCTCACTGACTCACCTCCTCCAAATGGTGCCCATATAACCCTACGGATGGATTTCACCCAATCCTCCATGTCATTCTGTGTGCTTGCCATAAGAAGATACGTCTCATGATTAGCTGTCATCCGCTCTCGGTCTCCTCCTGCAAGAGAAGATAATTGTCCTTAGAAATCCTTTTGCTTTCCCGTCCAACCAAGCTCCTGCCAAGCTGGCTGCTGAAAGCAGCAATAACGGCTCTGAGGAAAGCAGGGGCAGATAGCACTGGCACACTTATTTTAAGCCATGGCACGAAAAGAAGGTTCTGGCTGTACGTTCCTCAGCAGACAGCAAGGAATGGACTTCCTTCCAAAAGGAAATGAGAGGATAAATGTCACTGGAAAATAAAATCAGCCCCACGCTGTTGCTAGAACTGCAGGGCCTACTCTAATCTGTAACTTGATATACACACTAGAAGTTTTGCAGCAATTATTGTACCATGGTAGATAAAATAAACACCGAGAGAGGGAAGGGTGCTTTAAACAAGTGAGGACGCCTCCATTTTCTATTTTCAGGAAGAGTTTGGGTCACATTCACAACGACAACATTTGACACATGGATGATACTGTGAACCCCTACGGATAAGACACAGTTGATGCTAGCAGTGGTGCAGCCCGGCCCGCTGCCTTGGACAGGTCTGAGGTGGGTTAAAACACAAGCCAGCTGCCCCCAGCTCCAGGGTTTCACTACTGTGGTGCTGCTTGAGCTCTAAGCTTGCTGGTATTATGTTAATGCAAGAGCGAAAGAACGGAACTCAAACCATCTTGAAAGCAAACAGAAGGAGCAAGTCCTAAAAAGTAAGTTCCAGACATTCTGAAGACCTTGCACTGAGTCAATGGCATGCGCATACACTTCATGTCCAAACTTGATGCACCTAGAAATCAGGAGTTTTGTCCTCATCTTCATCCCTCCTCTTCCATCTTATTTTTAATGCAGGTCATATCTACAGTAAAGATTTCTATTCATTAGAGCAGAACACTGCTTCTGGGAGGCAGTCTTCTGAGGAGTGCCATGATTCGTGCTGGGCGCTGTAGCATTTAGATGTCTGAAGAGGAACATCCTAAGGGTCTAGCAAATCCAGCCATGACTGCCTGGCACAACCTGGTCTATTTTATATGTCATCTAGAGCTCTCTTCCTGAAAAAAGCACAAAAAATCAGATACAAATGGAAAGGCTCACTCTGTAAGAAAGACTCTGGAAGAAACAGAACCAAGGATCAAAGATGTGGACTCCTGCATATTCGAGATGAAAAGCTGATCTTTACACGATTATGTGCATATCCTGTTTCTTCTGACCATAGGAAACAGCCAAAATTGGTCCATACTGTTTCTCAAAACTGAATTATAATGACATATATTTACTTCGTACAGCCCTAATCAGTCCCTAAACGCTTTTGTTTTCTTGGCAGCCTCACCAACAAATTCATATTTATTAAGAGCTCTATCCAGAATTTCCATTTGGATTGGACACAGTGACATGGCTCAACTGCGTGATCTTCCACTTGGAACAGGTCAGATTTCTCCCCCTGCCTCACCCTTCCCACTCGCAATAATTTGGCTTCCCAGTTGCTCCTATGCATCCCCTCTAGCAGCCCCATAACTGGTAAATACAGACTGCTGCTGAGCCTCCTGACCAGGACAGCCTGGACCACTCAACCTCATGCTGAGTGCAGCTTTGCCCACTGAGCCAGCACCACTTTGACACAAGCAAGGCCAAGTATTTTAAGATCTCTTGCCAGCAGCCAGAAAAAAAAACAATTAAAATACAGCGAAGCCAATTCATGCAGGGACCCATTGCACAGAGGGAAAGCAAGGGAACAGCCTGTGTTTGCTCATACAACACCACACCGTGCGCTCAGAAAAGCATAAAGAGGTGACTCAATTTAAGGGGTGAGTGTACCCTGAAATATCAAACTCAACTCTCCTGCTTTTCTGAAATATCAGATTCAACGAATCTCCTGCTCTTTATCATATCTTGATTAAATAAGGATGTGCAAACCTTTTGCATTGGGTTGAAAAAAGATTTTTAGTCAATATGTTTTGTTGCTGTATTCTCTCTCTAATCCTCCACCTTCCCTGGATTCGTGACAACCCTCTCTCACAAAATGCAGCTCAAGCTGAACTCTGAATGGAGTACTCCTTATCCTTTTAGAAGCATCTTGGATTTATTGCAAACTGTAGTTCCAGTATTCTTGAGAATGGAATGCAAAAGGATTAAATTCATACCGTCTGCTTAAGAGAGAATTTTCTCCCAGAAGGAACATCAAAAAGTAGGGCTAATCTGATTTTTCTCAGCTGAAAATGTCATGGACAACCTCAAAAGAATATGTGCATTCCAACAGAAAATTTGGGGCCCAATTTCAAAATGAAGCAGTTGTATATTCCCTTGAGCTTACTCTTAGCTACAGATTCTGAAACCCCCACTCTGAATTGAGAGCTCAACAATGGTGAAAGGCAGCTTGGCATAACAACAGCACCCACTGGGTTTTATTCAGAAACATCCCCGTATTTGAATGCTTTTTAACTTGGTTCCTGAATTTTTGGTTTCAAGAGTGAAATTTTAGCCTTCTAATATTTCACATCAATACACTGAATAGACCTCTATATGGTATTCATATGGCAACTCCTGGCTGTCCATCACCTCCAGGAAAGAAAAAAAAAAAAAAAAAAAAGGCCACTTAAAAGCCATATAAACAAAAAGATTTTGGAGCTGAAATTCCACCCCTAATTAATTTCTTCAAGTGTTGCCTCAGGGGTTCTTTGTTTTCTTTCCACCCCACCCTCTGTTTTCACTTTATTTTTTGTTTTTAAAGCTTGTCTTCCTTTCAGACAATTTTGGTCTCTATGCTCTGGAATCCTGTTCCCATTCCTACTGTTCATCGCCTCAGCAAGTGAGCACTGAACCCTGCCCACTTCTCCTTCACATCTGTTCTATCAGCTGCAGCCCTAAAGCTGCAGCAGCCTTCAAGGCAGAAGAGCTGATCCTGTAGAGCTGTTACTCCACGCAAACACTACCCCGATCAGAAAAGTACAAGCCATCTTCTCTAAGGCTCGTGTAAACCTTCTGAATCCAGCCCTGTGTAGAAACCCCCTTGGCCCAAGGAACCGGGCATCCTCTCCTCTGTTCAGATGTACGATGCTCCTGTGCAAAGGAGTACTGACATTTCCTGCTCATAAGTGCAATTAATATATCTTCACAAAAAGTAGTCTGATAATTATGATAGAATTCATAACCAACTGCCAACACTGTGTTCTTAAATCTTCCCCCATGTTACAAATGAACTGCGAGGCAAGCAATATAATTAATTTCTCTAGGAAAACACACCTGTGTTTTGTCAATTCTCATTTTATAGCATTTGTACTCTGACTTTTTCTTCTGAAGCAAACATCATCTCTGAAAGTAGCACAGAATATCAGATAACAACATAAGCAAACTTATTTTCCATTTTTCCATGTACGTTAGCAGACAAAACCCAATTAATGATTATCCAAAGCACGATACTAACTCAACACTAGTCACTGTTACTTTAAGCACAGCAGTCTCACTTGACACACCGATGAGCTACTAAAAGACAGTTCAAATCTGTATATGTTCATCTTCCACACACTGACGTTGGCAATTACAGGGTCCATTTATCCTGCAACTTTGAGTTAAGAAACTCATTTACAGCTGCTAGGTTTTAAGATTAGAGTTCTTAGATTATACGCATGATTCTTAGATGCTAAAAATTATACAGGACTTGAATCTTACTGTAAGGTAAGATGGCCAGATGTAACAATCTCTGTGGCAATCTAAATGGATAGATGTTTTAAAAAATTAGTAGCCAACATGAGAACTTCACGTGCAATCATTTTTAAAGAAGTGTTCTGCAAAGCTTGGAAAATATTCTGTATTGTTTTGTTAAAATCATAGCAGGTATCAGAATCTAGTGCCAGTAGCCAGCATTGCCAGGTGCTGGGGTTTTCTTTCCTTAGCAAAAGAGGGAGACTGGAAGAACAGACTCAAGCCAGAGTTGTGCTTTCCAGCTATTTTGCTGGTGACACTGAAAGTAATATTTACAAATAGGCTTTAGCCAGTATGTTATTTTCAGTCCCATTATATAGTTCCATTGCATCTTATACCTTGATAATAGGTAATAGGCTGGATTGAGAAAGATATATAAATAACACTTTCAATTATTTTAACCACAGTGCTTTTACACCCTCTGCCCTTGGTCAGCTCAGTGCTTTTCCATCATCTGAAAGGAGACAGACACGGCTGGCATTCCTATCACCTACGCATCTTAAATGACTAATACCACCATACCACCACAGTTGAGAACCCTGGCTTTGAACCACAGTTATCAAATTCATTGTTGTTTTACTACCAAGCCATATTAGATGCCACAAAGAACAGGTTTTTCCTAAAGAGAATTTAAAAACTACAAACAAGTCAGTAAGAAAGGTACTACTTTTAAAATATTTCACTATAAACAACATTTTCTACAGATAGCATCCATCTTTTGTATTAACCATCTTGATGGCAGCTCTCTGCATTAAAGTTCTATCTTTTTGTGTTCATATTAGCTCTTCCACTTAAGCACTGCACAGTCATTTAAGCAGCCAAATAGTAAAAGGCTAGTAACACAAGTACATTCCCTGGTGGGCACTGTACTCTATCACTGTTTGTCATTTGTAGTTTGCCAGGAATAAAGCAGGATGCTTAGAGTAGGAAAATCAATTGTTTGCATGGAGCTCTGAACCAGCTGCTTTTGGATATCTGAAAATGGAGTTCAGGAAATATTCATCCGGAAACTTTTCTCTATGCTGGAACTAGAACACAAGCGTTTACAAAGCTTTAACAGACGAATAATTTTAATGCCTTGCACAACAGCAACATGAAAATAGGTGCATAAGTGTAATACTGCATAGTAAAATATTTAAGTGTTTTATATCTGGCATAGATACCAAAAGTCACCCTCCTAACAAATAATTACTGAAACTACATCAGTACCTGAGCAACCAACTGCAATGTTTGCTCATCAGCAGTCATCATTATCCAACTGCTCTGGAAGCCACCAGTACTGCTGAGGTTCTTCTGAAGCTCCCAGCCCACGTTCCCAACATG